GTATATTATGAACATATTAATTCAGACATAATAAATGGTTATATTACCAAATTTGGTATGTTGAGTTTCTAAATAATATCCAAGTGGCTAAAAAGAAGTAGACTTGTCTTGGATTCCTGGAAGTTCTTTTCAGTTAGAAGAACATCAACCCCTTAGAGGGACTCTTGTGTGAGATACACAGTGAAACCCCACTATAATATGATGTTATGTAACATGCAGTTTGAGACAAGTCAGTTAACTGAATAAATAATGCAATATTTCACATGCGGGTGGGGTGAAATATAGGCTTCACTCATGCAGATGCAAACTTGATGCATGTTAAAGAAAAAAAAATACCTTAAAACACTGATTACATATTCAATATCTTTTTCAGAGAATGATGTGTTGGCAAACATACAAGTGAACTGGTACATGAATAATGTAAATAAGAGTACATATATACTCACATTGTACCCATAATAGTAAATCCATTGAAATGTGCACAAGTAGCCATTTTTCTCTGAAGTTTCCTTGCTAGATTCTATTTGAATCCACCGATATAATTTATTGCTAATAAACTTTAATTTATGAACACTGTAAAATATTTTGTCAGAATATTTGTTCTGATATACCTGATATGAACATTGTCAGCTGCAAATAGGAAACTTTTTTGGGGGCTAATAAAATAAATGAACTGAAACTTGTACATGGGTTTCTGACCTTGTAAACAATGCAAATGTAGCAACTGGTGGGAAATTGCGTCGGAGATTCTCAGTAAATACATGTAGTGCAACAAGACCTCTAAACTAGCCTCAACCAAGTATGGAAATAACCATTTAATTTCAAGAGTTAAGAGTAATCTTCAGCAAACTATTTAAAAGACAAATGCAAGAATAAATAAAATAAGCACTATATGGTTTGAAACATATTGATACAAGAACTTAGCAGTGCTGCACAGCAAAACAGGGATCAGCATACTTAATTATAATAGCAAATTCCTTGACCAATGAAACTAAATGGTTCAGTTTCAGTCATTGGCCAGCTTCATTAGTTGTGTATGTAACATCCTAGCATTACAATAAGTGGTCTGTGATTTAAAGCTAATGGTGTCTACATTTTTTTTACATCATTTAGGATCCAGTCAGAACTTCAGTACATGGGTATAGCAGTGCTGTTATACTCATTTTTGAGGGAGGCACTCAATAAAGATGATTTCAAAACTTTCCTGAAAGACATAATGAAAGGATATATTTATATTTACTTAGTAAGCTTTTAGATGTGAGATGAAGATGTGGTGAGGAGGGAAGGTTGAGGGTACACCTGTACATTTATGTGGTAATGATCAATATTTTAAGATCTGTTCATCATAAAGTGGAGGGAGAGAGAGTGAGAGGGAGGGAGAAATAACAAGAAGAAGAAAAATGAAATAGGCTTGAATATGGAAATACAGCTTTTAAAAACATATATATATATATATATATATATGGGCAGATATATGTCCTAATAGGGAAAGAAAGTAGTTTCAAAAGTGATAATATCACTGGTGTTTAAAGTATTATTGCCACTGGGGCAGTATATTTTTTTCTGCCACTTATATAAGTCATTATCTCACTATAAAATACATAATAAATTTATTCAGATGATAAACATATTTCAACAGTGGCATTGTTTTTTGTACATATGTGTACAGGTTGATTAAGAAGGCATTGACATATTTCATTTGACTAAGAAAACATATTCATTTAATTGTGCAGTAAAACCAAACATATTTTTAAAGATCAGTTGGGGATAAATTTGTGAAGCGCATAAGAATATCTCCATGAATTTGTGTTATAATAAAGAATGTTATAATGGGGTTTCACTGCACCAGGGCCAAACACCAATTTTTGGATTACATCACTTAAGAAAATACCAATAATATAACTTTTTTTCTGCTTATTTGTTCACTTGCATTCTCCAAAAGAAATGTATCCTGCTGGCATGTTCTGTTTTTTCAGGAATAAACCTTTTGCAATAGCGTTTCTGTTGAAAGTTTTTGTTTCTAGTTGATGGACTTGTATGCATCTTAATTTGCTGTCAGATATTTAATTATTTTACCATAAAATTAGGATCGTGTACATTGGCAAGATCCTGAAAAGGAGCTGAATCACCTTAAATAAATCTTCAGTTTTAGAAGGAAAAACAAGTCAGATAATCCAGTGGAACTGTTAACATGTGTACTAAAATGTTGGATAATTGTACATGAAATCTTGCATTTATGGGTTACTAGTAGTATTTATTTTTAGATCATGTTTGGCGAGTTCATGTCACATGGTTTATACTTTAATCCAAAATGCACTGAAGATGAGTCAGCCATCAATTTGAAAGGATATTTTCAGAGCCTGAGGAATAACATGGTAAATGTAGGGAGCTTGATACATTGGTGTACTTGATTTCATTCTAAAAGTGGAGGTTCCTCAGTTTTATTTCTTTTCAAACCAAATGGAAGCTTGCAATGTAAACAAGCAGACTACTCGTCCATTTCTTTTTTCTAGAATAGTCCATTTTAGGAAACACATGTCTGCATCCAATATTTGCACTATCTAGTTCAAATATTTCTAAAACAAATTGAACAAATAAATAGGAGAAACTCTTGTATACATGCATTCAAAAAGATTTAACTCCCAAATTTATGTTTTTATTCAAATTGTCAAGAACTGCATCACATCTGTTGCTTGAAAACATAGGCTTGTTCATGCAAATATGGTGACCTTGTTAAAGAAACTCCAATTTTATTTGAAACACCAACAAGCTGACAGTGTTGTGACACCCCCCCAGTAACAGGAATTGTCATGCAAAAACATGATTTTTGACTCCCAAGCCCACCTCCCCAACAGTCTTGTTTCAGAAAATACAATTTTCAGTAACCTTTGGGAAGAAAAAAACAAGATTTTTTTTACCACCACTGTACAAGTAACAGGAATTGTCATGCGAAAACATGATTTTTGACTCCCAAGCCCACCTCCCCAACAGTCTTGTTTCAGAAAATACAATTTTCAGTAACCTTTGGGAAGAAAAAAACAAGATTTTTTTTTACCACCACTGTACAAGTCTGAAGCATGTAGTTGGTATAAATAGTAAACAGCCCTGCTTAAAGCCCTGTAAAACTCTACTCTATTCAGATATAAAACAACCACCATTTCACATATTACTTAATTAGTTGAGAATAGCAAGGATGATGCCATGTTAAGTTCTTTAAACACTTATCTGGAAGAGACTATTAGACTAATTTGCATGTGTAAATTATGCTAAGTGGAACAACCCAATTCATAAAAGTTAGGTACAACTATAAAAATGTGTGTTCCAGAACAAATGTTATGACACATCATTGCCTTTTAAATGAGAATATTTTAGCCATTATTACTCGAAATTAAGGGCAAGTTTGTGATCAATGGCTACATTTCTTTAAAGTTGAAAATTACTCCATATATAAAACTCAAAACAGGATTATTTTTGTAGTAGAATGGCACACAAGTGTTGTTCAATTTTTGAAGCAAAATGTTGAAGTGCAGCTGTGATTCAGATGAGCCATCTGTAAAATTTTCATGGCCCAACATAACCAAATTTCTGAACAGAGTTTGACTTTGTGAAGTGCAGCAGCAATGGGGAGTATTTTGTTTTGGGCACACACTACAAACACCTCATCAACATTAGTCATTCTGGAGTATATAACATCCATCAACATCTCAGCAGCACCCAGCATATATGCCTATCTCTCACAGAAATGCAGATCATTTTCTATGCTGTCAAAAATGAATAAAATCTTAGTTTGAGCATTCACTCTCAAATGCGTGCTAAAATGAACATCAGAGTGTTATATGATGGTTATCATTTTTGCTAAAATAATCACCTTAAAAATATTAAATGTTCCTTACCTACAAAATAATGGTTATTGCCATGACCCATTTCAAAACAGTGTGCTAAGTTTCTGTAAAATGTAATCCAGATGAGCATTCCAATAGTTTGGTATCTGATTATTATAATACAGCAATACATCCATTTACATTTTTTAAACTAGAGTATTGCCATAATTGTGTTATGTGCTGTTAAACAACATGTATACCATAAGAAGCTGTCAGATTTCTGCCTTGGGTTAACACATTTTAAGTTGAACCATGTACTACAGCTGTCATAATCATATTGTACTGTTCTATGATTATCTTTTGAAGACAAGGGCAAGCACAGTCATGGCAGTGTGAAATTTAACTTATTTTAACTCTTTTTATCTTCGGTAAAAAGGGAATGTATTTATTAATTGCAGTTATTTTATTAGATGTTACTTCAACTTGTATAAAATTTAATGTCATCTATTCCTTTCAATCCATCATAATAAAATTCCATGCAGCAAGTCTGTAATTAAAATGTTGCAGTCAACACTGCTTTCTTGTCGCTGATACCCAGGAGTTTTTTATTTTCATACCTTACTTAAGTTGTTTGTCAGGTAAAGCTAAATTTCAAATAAAGTGCTTAAATTGTCTTAAATTGAAGATGTTGCCCAATGATTTTATTTCAATGTAATGTACAGGTTTCATTCTAAATTCTGGTTTGTTTTTTTCAATATTTCAATATCTCTCTTTTCCTATCAGAACATTTGCACAAATTTGAAATACATAATTGTGAGTAAATTGATCATGTAAAAGCTCTGGTGAAAAAATAATAAGCTTGGTAATTGTTTTTGTCTATTTATTTCAACTATATTATTAAAAGTTACTGATTTTTCCACATAGCAAAGATATCCAGTCTCTTGATGATGATTTTGTTTTGTTTTAGTAACAGAGTCAGAGTTTTCCATTTGAACATTTGAAGCCAACATGTTGCCTATGTTTGAGGCTTTTCTTATGTTTAAGTTACTTAATTTTCTTGAGCTACCTACATAGCAAAGTAGAATAATTGCCATGGAAATGGTGTTGGTGTTATTGGCCTGATTAAGAAAAGTTTTTTAATTTCGAGATTCCAAAAGTCTGTAAACTGACTTAAGACAGAGCTCTGGTGGTCTAGTGGTTAGAGCATCCACCTCGGATGTTTGAGGTCATGGGTTTGATCCCCGGTCGAGTCATACCAAAAACTTTAATAAAATGGTACTAACAGCTATAAACTGTCACAGTGCAAACATTGTAGCGATATGACTGAAAAATTGTTAAAGCTGTTACAAATATAAATCACACATAGACAAATACATGCTATCAAAGTAAATGTTTGTGTATTAGCTAGCTATTGAATCCCATCAGTGTAACATAGTTGATTATGTATATTGTTCCACAGATTTGTTTTGTGTATTTAAAACTTTCAACATTGATGTTTTCTTTATTGTCACAAAATGCACTTAATGTTTTTTTTTTAAAAAAAATAAACTTTAGGAATTCAAATAGCCCTTGTTTTGTTTTGTTCCTGTTAGTGATGTAGTAAAGAGATTAAAACCAAGTTCATTTAAAATGTTGTTTAATAAGCAGTAAAAGTATGTATTTGTTGCATAATGCATAGTTTTCCATTATATTATCAGTTGGATTGGAAAATTATATTTCTTTCCCAATTGGTGAGTCTGCTGTAATATAGTTTTTTTTTGCAGATGCTACGCAGTTCAAAACTATCTGACCTGTTAGTTGTGGTCCATCTGACCTGTTGGGTCTTCCCATTGACTTAGGGGTGAGGCAGGGACCAGTGGTGTACTGATTTAAACACTAAATCATATTGTAATCTACTATTTATATCCAAAATACACATAGTTCTGTTCACCTAAACAAATTCTACATTAATATATTTCTACATTTTTTCTCACTTGAATTGTCTTTTCAGAATATCTATAACTCCATTCAGTCTATAAGGTATCCTTTTTCTTAACTTCCCATCTTGTACATCTCTGTCTGATTCTTATTTCCAGCTTCATCTTATCTCTACTGTCATTCTTTCTTTCCCTGCCCTCTTTCTGCCTTCTGCTTTCTCTTCTGCACACTATATCTTGTATTTATCTATATACACATAATGGCTAACCATTACTAGATGAATGACAGCTCCCTTCCCACAGTTAATGACAGCTCCCTTCCCACAGGACGTACCATAACTAAATGGTGTCGAAACATCAGGAATATGACCCAGTTATCCAGACATTTGATGCTGACCTGTTTACCCAGATTTGTCAAAGCCTTCCTGAAACCCCAAAACTTGACTTGCAGTTTATATGTTCTCACACCCAACTTACATTAGTTTCTATGATGCTGACCTAGTTACCCAGATTTATCATTGCTTCCCTCACATCTTCTCTGAAATACCCATAATCACGCTCCCCACTTATTACTACATGTAGTTAGAAACATGATATTGGTAATGCAATATATTTTACTTTCCCCCTACCCCCACTAAAATCCCTTTTGTCATATGTACACAGAATCCCTTTGGTCATGCGTATATTTATCTTTTCAGCTTGCTTTTCTGTTATTGAGCAACAAATGTATGAGGTAGAAGTCTTTTTCTTTTAGATAGTTGTTAACTGGCTAAAATAAACCATTAGTTTGAAAACTTCAATATACTTTTTAATGGTGAACTAATGAAAAACTCCAGTATCTTTTTCAAAAGCATGTTAAAAGCATAGTAACAGCAGTGATTAGGTGTTAAACAGTAAATTGGGGGAGGAGATTTTGCTTGGTCTCATAATTTATTGTGTTAAAAAGTTACCAATGTACATTTTATACACATTTTTATATAATGTTATTGATATTTTTAGGAATAAGTCCATATGTATTCAAGTTGTCATTTGTGAACTGGCTATGTGAAAATGGAACAATTAACATTGCAATTGTTCCAGCGTACTTTATTTGATGTTGTACTTCTTGAAATCCTGAATAGTTTTTTTAAAAGCAAACTCTCTGCAACAGATTTAAGTAATGCATATTTTTTTAAGTACCTGTCTATAAAAGCTGTTTTTATTATCATAAAAGTTAAAGCCTTTTTGTTTTTTGGTTGTGCAAAGTCCAGGTCTCACTGTTTTGGATTTGGTCTGATTTGATTTTGTTCTTATACTTCATTGAGACATTGTAGTTGTGAATTTATTGATTATTTAATATAACATTGATCTTCTCTTACACCTGCATTCTGGGTCTGTATCATCTCTTTCATCTAGTGCCATATCATATAGTGGAGTTTAGCATTTCATGATGTGGGTTGGGTTGTTGGTTTTTTTTGTGCACATTCTTGATGAATTTGGAATTGTTCTTCCTTTAAGCTTTCTGCTTGTTCTTTTTTTTAATTGTTGTGTAGCTTTTCTAAATGTTTTTACAAGTATAAGTCTACATGTACCTGTTAGCTTTTGTGAATCTGTCATTCCCTGTTCTTTGTTAATCTTTGATTAATCTTGATTGTTGTATTTTTGCCTTCCATTTCTTTGACAATGAAATTAATAAGATGAAAATTGGAATTTAAATAATAAACGAGTGAAAACAAATTTGTAGTCTAATTCAAGTTTGTGAAAACAGAATTATCACAGTCTACATATCTTGACGTTGCAAAAAGTGTGCTTCATCCAGACGGTGTACAAATGCTTTGCAAATTAAATTATTTTGATTTATTTTTGGGAGGAATTCTTTGTGATCAAAGGTTTTGTGAATAAACTGAAATTGGTAAAATATATTGTCAAGGAAAATAATGCATAGTTGATTGTGCAGTTGTGTGAATCACTGCTATACATTATTGAATGAGAACTGAGACATGATTAAAGGTTCTACTGATTGCATTAAGTCTGTATAATTATTTTTACCGTTTATGCTGTTCAGAATCTTTTTGACCAACTTGTCTGTCTTTCAGTTTTCTTTTTTTTTACTATAGTGAAAATAAACTTTTTAGGTTTCAGCATTTTTTAAAAAATTCTTTTGCGATGTAATATGTCTACATGTTTTGACAAAAAAAGTAGGATAAAGGATGTGAAACCATCAATTTGTGTAAATTCAGTAAATGGTTTCCCCTTGAATACAAGGTATAGATTCTACGAAGTATTACATTATATATTTTATGTGGATATTTATACAATTTTGTATTAGGGTAAATTTACGGTACATAAATTTACGGTAGTCTTAAGAACTCAAATAATTAAAAAAAAATAGCATTCGACAATGATTCGACCACCTTCTCCAAAAAAGTAGCCAACACACCCACAAAACAACAACACTACAGAATTTATTGAAAACAAAGTTCAATTGAAACAGCACATGGTAACTCCGTATACGAACTAGCAGTGTTTGAATCAATGGTATGAAAAAGTTATATCTATTTAAAAGGACGGAAGAGATGTTTCAAACTGCTAAAAACAAAAATTCCCATTGCAAGTTGATACACTATTGACTAGTTGAAAATAAATTTACACAAATATCAATTGTTGGTAGCAAATTGTTTAGTTTTGTGGGTTTAACACCCCTTTTCAGCACAAGATACTTTTACGCATATCTATATTTTTTATGTTTATTCATGAATGTAAATTGTAATGATCATTTATAGTCAAGATATTAGTTAATTTTTGTACACTGGTATAAAATTATATTTTAAGATATTGCCATGATTGCGTAGGATCTATAAATAGCTATGATTAAATTATTAATAATAATGTTAGTAATAAACATGATAGCAAATTTGTGGCCATTTCCCACTGGACAGATCGGTCGGGTTGATTATTAGAATTAAGTTGGTTCCTACTGAATAGATTAGGTCACTTGAACAGGTAGTTTGAAATATTTGATTGATTAGTAAGATCTGTCATGTGGGGTGTATTGCGACGAATAGTCGTAATAGACCCTTGGAGGTTTATGTAAGGAAGGAACTGAGTAATCCGATTCGTTCCTATTTAGGATTCATTCCTACTTCGGATTCTTATTTCTTATGGATAGAAAGTGTGTTTTATTGGTTACTATATGTAGGTGCTAATCAGTAAGATTGCATTACTCGGTAGAGGTGGTGGTTAATAAGCGTAGGTGTTGGTTAGTTTATATGGGTGGTGGTCAGTAAGACGGTTTACTGGTTAGAACATGTCTGTATTATTTTATTAGGTGTATGTAATGTTCCACCTACGGATGTTTATTAACATTACATTTTTCTTTGAAGCGGCAATCATTTTTAGAATATATACTCTTTATGTATACAGTATCTTTTCTTTCGGATTGTATCTTACTCATCGTTGGACTCTAAGTTGTAATTAATGTCCACTTCCTTTACGTCCACTGTGTTCCTTTTCTTTTGCACTTATCTCGTTTTTTGTTTTGCATTTCATGTTTGCTTGATGGAGTCTTTAAAATAAAACATTGCTTTACTGTTGACCGAGTGTCCATTAATTTTTTTTTACAAATTTTCTAAATTCGCAGATGGTCCAATCTTTATATTCGATTAACTGGTTAACAATTTGGTGTTCTCCACTTGTGCATATCGTAATTAACCACATCTTGCATCGTCAGCGTTATTTTTATGCACGTTTTTGTAAATGGTTACTTATTAGCTTTCCGTAAGTAAATGTTATTTAACAGTTCTTCCTTTGAAAAGGAAAAATAATGTTACGAATTTTACTGATCTCACTAGTTTGAAAGGTAAACGAGACCATTTTTCAGTGGTAGAGAAAGTGCAACCATATTTAACAATCAGAGTGCGAGGTACGCATGATGACTGAAGATGTGTAATATTTCAATGGGGAAAAAATATCTCCACAAAATGCACTTAGATAATGAAAAGTGTTCTTGTAAACGTGAATACCATGAAAACATCGATGGATATATGTGAAACTGCATTTCTCGACTACCAAACACATTTTCTATTTAATGTGTGTGTTTGTGTGTGAATATATATATATATATATATATATATATATATATATATATATATATATATATATATATATATATATATATATATATATATATATATATATAACATTGTTACGGCCGTGTAGTTTAATTGTGTGAGTTAAGTTATCATTTCTGTATAAATCTTTTTTTTTATTTTTATTTCAATAAATGTAATTATTAATATGATTTTATTAATATAAGTCTATTATGTTGTTGAAAAACATTGTGTTTACTTGAGTCGTAA